TGCCCCAGTTCCTGGGCATGTACCGGCTCACGGTGGACGGCGTGGAGACCTACATGGTGGTGACCCGGAACGTGTTCAGCCATCGGCTCACTGTGCACCGCAAGTACGACCTGAAGGTAGGCGGGGCCGGGGGGGATCCACATCCAGGTCGGCCATTTTGATTAGGTCACCAATAGGAAGATCCCAGGAGAGAAAATCCTAATTGCTTCATGGCAATATAGACATTAATTTAAGAATAGTGAAATGAATTTTGTAAACAGTGAATTAAACTCTATCCATAATATTATGTTAAAATAGTGGATGTTAAATAGGTTTGTACAATAAGTCCAAACAAGTTTAACCAAAACATATTTATTTCTCACAATCATGAAGGAAGGAGGGTTAGGATTAGGGTCAGGGTCAGGGTCAGGGTTAGGGTTAGGTTTAGGTTTAGGACATTGTTTGTCTTCCAACCCAAACTAACCCAATCCAGCCCAAAAGGGACCCAAACTGGTCCCAAATGGACCCAAACTGACCCAAACCAACCCAAAACGAACACAAACTGGTCCAAAATAAACACAAACTGGTCCAAAATTGGTCCAAAGCTGACCAAACTGACCCCAAATAGGCCAAAAGATAACATGGCAGGACGATGAAGTTCAAACAAAAACTTTTTGTTGATTCCCTGTTTATTGTGCATGTATTTGATATACAAACTTCATTTTCCTACCCGTCCTGCCCAACTCGGCTGATTCACGGCATTGGAGGAAATGTAAATGTGGTTAATGTGGTTAGAGGAGGTGGAACCAGGTGTGTTTAGGCTGGAAACCCCAGAAACTAAAGTGGGATAAGGGGGCCAGAGGGACACGTTTCCTCCCAGTCTGTTCTGGCTTTGCTGTGATAAATTCTCCTCCAATTGTTCATGAAGAGTCCTCGACAGCATCTTCCCCCCCAGGAGGAGCCTGGATGCTGCTTTTATTGACACTTTAAAGGCTCCTCCTGAGCTCCGGCTCCTGATAGCTGCCATGCTAACGCCTCCCTTTGAAGCGTCTCCTGCTGCTCTCAGCTCTATTTCTTCTCCTGTTTTCCCTCTCCAGGGTTCGACCGTCTCCAGGGAGGCCAGTGACAAGGAGAAGGTAGGCTTTAATTCTGCCGGGCCTGAAATAACCGGCCTCAGCTCCCCCCCGTAAACAGACCTGTAAACAGATAAACGGAGCAGCTAGCTGATGTATTCTGGGCTCCTTTAGCCTGTGAGCAGAATTCAAGCCCTCTGAATGTTTTCTAATGGGATAAAAGAGCTTCTCTAGGGATTTAAGCTTGTTTTCTGCTCTCCTCAGGCTAAAGAACTTCCCACTTTCAAAGACAACGACTTCCTGAACGACGGCCAGAAGCTGCAGATAGGAGACGACAACAAGAAGTACTTTCTGGAGAAGCTAAAACGGGACGTGGAGGTAAGAAAGGGCTCTAAAAATAACCCTGTGACAGTCTGAGACACTTTGATGATTCAGATTTGGCTGCTTTTTTATGGGTTTTTAATCTTATTTGAGCATCTTTGTGGTGTCTGGACCTCCTAAAGCCTCAGATCTGTTCTGAGATCTGTTATGGGCCGGAAATATTCCCCAAAGAGTTCTGAATG